CCTCCCCCAATGGAGTCCTACTGCCTCCCGGAAGCTGACTCTTCCCTTCAGAATAACACAGAACTTGGAACTGGATTATCTCAGAAAAGAAAAGCACTGGGAGAAAGGAGCAGAGTCAAGCGATCCAGAATACACTAAGCTAATTCCATGCTTTTAATTTGTACATTTTAAAATGTATATTTATATTTTTTCATTCTCACCACAAAAAATTAAAAGCTTTGAGTTTCACTTCTAATTTGTCCTGAGATTAAAATAATTTTCAGTAATACTCATAGGAAAGATTGCTTTGGTTACCAGTAGTGCAATCTGGTGAATCTCGCTCTAGGTGGAGGAGAATGAACCCCTTGCTGCTGGGGGGGAAGGAACAAGGGAGCGGAGCTGTGGAGTCTCCAGGTGAGAGAGAGAACAGGAAGACAGCTTGCCTTTATGTGCAAGGCTGGCCTCTGTGCTTCTGCTTTCTGCGTTAGCGCAGTGAATGTTTTGTCAGTGATCGCTGCAACATGCTGTCAGGATGATGTGAAGGAACTGTCAGGTAGGACTGAGAGATGCTAATGAATGTGTGGGGTTTGATTCTTTTTAAAAAGGCTGTGGCAAGATTGCTATGTTGAGTTGCAGTGACTACGTTCTTACCACGTGCTTTGCTTTTGATCTTAACAGCTTGATGCTGTTTGTGGACATCAAACATGTCTGACTTGCTCCAAGGCCACATACTGAAAATAATGCTGCTGTTAATGCCTCAAATCATATTTTGAATTAACTTTGTGTTTCACTGATAATTTTCTGTTCTACCTCCAAAGTGTTGCTTTGCATTGCCGGCGTTTTAAATAGGTGTGGGCATTCATAGGTGAGACCTAAGGGTCCTGTGACTGTACTACATTTTTTTCTTCTTCTTCTTCTTCCTAGTCCTCAGAAGAAGCTGCTGTGGAAGGGTAGTGCTGCTGTTTTCACTTTACAGATTAAGAAACCACTCCCTGAGACCCACTTAGCTAAGCTTTAAAGAAGTCCTGGAGACTCGCAGTTCCTGCAGCTGCTGTGAATCCTGGGGGCAGGGCAGAAGGGGAGCTGCTAAAATCAGACACATACCAACTCCCAGTGGAACCAGTAATGTGGGATCCTGTTCTCCAGCCATCTGCTCAGCTTGTGAGTCTGCATATGCCACAAACAGGCCACAGCGTGCCCTGCCCAGGTGGACATGGGCTGTAAGCCGGGGGAAGGCAGGCACTAAGCAGCTATGGGGAAGGAAGAAGGACAGCGAGGGAGTGCTGGGGGAGAACAGAGGCAGAAAGCAGCTGTTACAGCCAGAGCCAGCCCCTCTTCTGCGCTGAGCCTGGAACAACGCTGTGACAACCACCATGCTGCTGTTCATCACACCGACTGCTGTGATCGCTGAGTCACTGAAGAGAAGGGTGAACACAAGGAAAGCGAGACAAACTTGCAGGTATAAATTCAGTTGGTGCTGTTAAAATTTATTTTCTTCAGCTTTCTTCACAGGAAACATCACAAAAGTGCTTTACAGAGTTGGATACCATTACTCTAACATGGGACAAAAGGACAACAGGTGTGTGCGCTGCACAGTTAGAAGTTGTCATAGGCAAAGGCCCTGATAGGTAAAACAGGGAAAAAAAAAAAAACAAAAAAAAACCACTACTGACAAAAATATATATATAGTTCAGGTTTTGAACTTAAATTATAATTCGACTATAAACATACAATTATATAAATATACAGGCACCATTAGGTTCCTGTGTTAACTATGGGGGCCACACAGGGATTCTCAGAAATAGATCATATTGTACTCTGTACTTTGCTGAAAGTTTCTGCTGTGCTCAGTGCACTCCCAGACACCCATTTTCCCAGCCAGAGAGCATCATTCTTTCTCTTGCACTACAATAAGCACTCAAATGTCTTTATCTTAATTTCTTCATGTGTAGTGTGGAGGTGGGACATTCTGGTATGTTGTTGAAAGCAAATTCAGTTTCCTCTTTTTATCAGTCACAGAGATGTCCTCTTACTATTCTTCACTTGGTCATCTCTTCATTAAAAAAATAAAAATCCTTTAGGCTAGCCCCTGCTGTCCAGCTAACACAGTTTTGTTTGAGCTAGCATGTTAGCAGTCATGCAAATCCTACTCCTTTTCATAGTTGAGCTCAGTTCTACTGGGACCAGTGCGACTGCCTTCATTTTGCCTAAATTCCATGGGAATTGGGCTCCCACATAGCCTTTGGGGGTCTAGGTTTCCATTCCTCAAGATCACCTTTACTTGCTAAGCAATTTTGCAACAGATGGAGCCATGTTTGGGATGCTAGAGCCCTGACTGAAGAAACAACAGCATGATCAAGACTCAGGAGTTCTGGCTTACAGAGCTGCTTTCTAAATAAGCAGCAAATAATTCAGGCACCTGACCAGAAATCCTTGGCATGGTAATAAGGTAGATGAATAAAAGAAGGGAATACTCTAGGGTGAAGAAAGGTCAAATGAAGAAAGTTTTTTGCTGGGCTTTGAGTTGCAGAACAAAAATTAGCAGAGGCAATTATCTAAAAAGTACTGTCATGCCAGTTGACAAAGCCAGTTTGCCTTTTACCTAATTCCCAGATTAAAGACAGTGCACAGTCAGAGAAACAGTCCTGAAGGTTACTGGGTGGTTAGCAAATAACACAGTATTTACAGTGGCAAGACAGGGCTTTGGTAAGTGTCAGCATGGCTGAGGCTGTTGTTTGGTTGCTGGTCAGAGACAAATACATCTGCTCCATCTCTGCAAAGAGAAAGAGCAGCGTAACCCAGAAATTTAAAACAAGTTTGCTATGGGGCTATGAAATTTAAAACAAGGTTGGAGAGGGTGGGTGGGCAAAACTCCTACATTTATCATCAGCTCAAGTAAATACAGATGCCAGATTCCTACAACAAGCATTTGGGAAGTCTAACTTTTTTTTAAATTATCTAGGGTTTTTTTGCATTTTAACATTCCTTAAATACAGAGTATATCACAAATCCAAATTGTTCCTCTCCCAGTAAGTACAAGACATTTAAATGTTCTACTATCAAGTCAGTAACTTCACAGCTGTTTTTATTTTAAGCTGGAGAACATAAAATGGAACCTTTAAATTGGAAATTAGTAACTAACCCACCATAAAAGCACACTACAGGTTAGGAAGCACCTGAAACAGCACACAACTGCATTTTACTGACTGATACCAAGAATCTCGTTTCTGCAACTGACAAGCCATCAGTATGGAAGGAGCCTTCAACAAGCAGTCTGAAGAAATGAAATGGACATTCTTAGCATGCCTCAAATGAATGCAGCAACAAACCAGATAAAGTTGGACTTCAGAGTCTCAAAAGCCTACTGACCTTCCATGGAGGACCAACTTTCAAAATTTCAGGCATGCAGAACAATTAATTTTTACAAGGAAGATACTGACAACTGGCATTTTGATAGTTGCTGGCAGTGACACTTAACACAAGAAACTTTAAAATAGTTAAACATTTGGTGGAAATTTGCTGTATTTGAGGTTGGTTTTTTTTTTCCTTTAAGCCTCCAGAAAGAACCTGGAATGATACACTTAAGAAAAGCCTCCAATGTAAACACTTCTAGTTAGTAGTAGCTGATGGACTCTGGTGACAATGACCAGGCAGAGGTTTGGGTTTGTTTTTTTTCATTCTCTAATTTAGCAAAGTTCCTTTCAAGCTTCATTCATAGTCTGTTCACCATCTCAAACCAGTCCTATTATGGTGGGAGTAAGAAGACACTGACAGGTACCAAACTAAACTTTAATGTATAAATAAAAGTCATATGAATATGCACTGCTCTAAGCTCTTACACATAGCCCACCTGACCCTAAGGCTGACTACCTGTTCTGTGGCCTGTCCCTTGATCTCTTAAAGATCCAAACGCTCTGTTTCCTCAGCTGTTGTGAAGTCATAAGCTAGAACTGAAGGTAAAGATTCATTAGACTCCAGAATCCATGTATATTTCCATTTTATTTGATTTGAAATTGTTACAGGGTTTTCTTGAACTGCCAGAATTCATGCCCAAAACCTCAAATAAAAATAGTACAAGGGACAGTCTCATCTACCCTCCAGACAGTAGACTAAAATGTGATTCATGTGCAGTGATGATCTCAATCGCTTTAGAGCAGCAGGAAAACTGCTTTAAGATTTCACGTTCCTACCACATTGAGCGACATGTCCATTTACCATGAATTCCATAGAAATCTTTAATGACAAATCAGTTTTGCTGGAAACAATGTATTTTCAAGGAAGATACACAGCTCAGAGTCCAAAGTGTTGGTATCAGTCTTTCAGTGGGGTTTTGTTTCCAAGTGAAGTCTCCAACTTTAACAATAGTCTCTTGAGCCCTCTCTTTAATAAGAGCTTCTAGCAGAAGTTTTAGAGACAGTTAACTCTTCAAGGGCAAGGCCAGTTTTAGTCTGTGCACAAAAGAACCAGGTGAAACCCCAGCCCCACTGAAGTCAACAGCAAACTTCCCATTGGCCTCAGAGAAGGAGATTTAAAGCGAGTCAGCAGTTAGTCAAAGGGAACCCACCAGGGTGATTCCTGCGCTATCCTCATCTTCTGCACACACACAGTACTCCCAGACATGTAAGCGAGTTGTGTTTTGTTCCCTTGGGTTTTTTGCCATTGGCAGCTCTTACAGATGTTGGGTCTATTTTTTGGCATTTACTCTGAGAAACCTCAACACTAGAGCACGCCATTATTGTACTTCATTTTGCTTCTGGTGTAAGAATTCAGAGAAGAGAAAAAGTTACAGCAGGACACTTTTGGTACTTGACAGCTTTCATTCATCAAATCAATAACAGGCAATGTCCCATGTTCTAAGTGTATCAGTGCCATTTTGCCTGTTTCCACTAAATTAACTCAGAGATGACAACAACTTAAAGAAGTCACTGCATTCCCTTACTACTAAACTTCCTGACTTTGAATAAACACCATTTATGAGTTTTACTTAGAGGATTTCTGTCTCAAAGCCTGCATGCTTCACAGAAGACGACAAATTCTGAAGACTGTAGTTGGAGTCTGGATACCTCTGTGTCAAATCAAAACTCTTTAAGTCTTAGTGCTTTAGGGTGAGAAAGACAAACCTCATGACAAAAAAAACAAAATAAACCCTATTTCACTACAGCTTCTCATCATTATTTAAATATACTGCAATTTGATACCAAAGACAAGGGAGGCATTTTTTTGTGGAGAATAAAAAACAAACGCTTGAACAGACAACTGTGAAAAAGGCTAATGCAAACAGACCATCCAAACCCATCATTCCTCAAATGTGATACTTAATGAGTTTTAATTTGCTTTGCAGTTACCTCAGTACAGCTATCTAAAAAGGTAAACAAACTACAGCTCTGTTATACTTAGATAGTACAGGTGGTACAGTACGCTCCGCAAGTCTCTAGTAGGCTACGGCTACACATGACAGGATTCCTCGGAAAGGAAACAATAGGTTTGTCATTAAGGTCACTTAAATCTTTGTTATAGCAAATTGGAACCAAATGGCTGACTTCTGCAGGATTTCTGACAGGAATCCAGTAGAGCTGGTTTCAAGTTTCAGATGGCCACTAAAACAGCTGTAACCTTCTCTTCCAGAAGTTGTGATCCACATGGTGTCCACAATGAGTGCAGCAAGTCTGAGGTAGTCAACCTGTACGAAGGCTCAGTATCTGAACATAAAAAGATTTTGAAATGACCACTGGCTGTAGGTATCTTTCTGAGCAATTACAGAACACTGATGACTCTCGTTCAGTCATTTACATTAATTTGCCCCATATCCAAAGGAGAAGTTGTAACATATTACGCTTCCATTGTGCAGGAGAACCAATCACTTACGTCAAAGTAGTCTGCACTTGCTGCAGCAGATCCAGCAGAAATAGGGTGGCATGTTCATCATAGCCGTTAGCTGTAGTTTAGTTACCTTAGTAGAAGGGTTACCAAAAAAAGCATTCCTTAATTGTAATGTGTGTGCAGCTCTACTGATCCCCAAGCACAGCATACTGGTTGTCTAGCTGAAGTTTAAGTGCCTGGTTTTTTGACACCTCATCCCTACCTCTAGTTTTGTGTTTTACTACTTCAAAGCTCTTCTCCATTTCTTTATCCCTAAGGGAAAATAAATGTAATCAGTAAGTGTCTTATCACTAGCTTGTGAACTGTGAATTTCTAGTTGATTTCCACCCCATCCCAACAAAAACATTATGAACATAGAATACTAAGGTCTAGAGTTTTAACACAACAGCCAAACATTCCCAAGCAAATCTTGTGAAGTCTTGTCTCCAGAATCAAGCTCATCACCCAGTACAATTCAGATTACATTCTAAATCTCAATATTAACATTCTCAAAAGTAAATTTAAGGGCATTTATGAAAAAATAGGTTTTAGAAAGCAGAAGTCCATTTCTAGAATGCTCACTCAGAATTTCATCTTAACTCAATTTGCAGTGTTCAGACCCTAAAGCATCAATGACAGCATGTCTCATTTGCTAAGCAAAGCCACACCAAAAAAAAAAAAAAACAACCCACACCACCCAGAACTTCTGCTAGGCTGTATTAATCAATAACACAGCAAGCAGGAAAAAAAACAACCACAACCCCAAAAAACAAACTCAAAAAGCCCAAGTGAATTAGGTATTGCCCTAGCTGTCTCTTCTTGTAGGGAATGAGGCTATGGTAAGATCAGGACTCAAAAGCAAGGATCTCAGGGAACCAGATGCTGTCGAGCAGAAATACTCTGCTTCAGGGAAATCCTTCAGCAAGTCAATTAGATAAGGTAACTGAAGTCTTGTTTGGCTCTCTCACTGGGCTATGTCCTATAAATGTTACTTCATGGGAAGCCCTTCCTTGAGTTGGAAAATACAGTTAAGACCTCTCCCATCTCTTTGCCAAACAGAATAGTTTCTTAGTTGCTTCCTTTCTCTGTGGAAAGATTCAGGCTTAAGCCCTAAAACAGAACAAGAACTTATAGAAGGCAGTTAAAATATGATTTAGGGAATTAATGGAAGGTACTTACTTTCGACTGTCGACAAGCTTGGCAGTAGACTGCAGTGATGGAAACTGCGTATCGCTATAGATTTCTGGTGGTCCTTGCTGTGCTCTCCGTGGCCTGCCACCCTCCCTGGCACCAGGCGGCCTGTATACACCTCCAGTCTGAACTGGCTCTGGGGTTTCTGTAACTAGTTATAAGAACAAAATTTAGATAAGAGAGTAAGATTGCATTCATACCTAAAAAAAACCAAAACAAAACCCACAAATAAAAAGAATCTTACAAGTATGTTTCTGCACATTTTAGGGCTCTGAAAGCAAATACTTTAGACAAGGCAGGAAATCAGTATCACCTAATTTAACCTACACTTAGTAGTCAAAATGTGGTGCCAGTGTATTGCCTCACAAAATTCAGGGAATCAAAACAACTGATGAGGACTTCATGTTTCTTATTTACAATTTATTAGGAGTTTACATTTAAAATTAGAGATTTAAACACATAATTTTGTATTTGACAAATCCTACTTGAAGCACCCCTCCAGATGCAGTTTGTATTTAAGGTAACAATCTACAATGAAATAACACTGATTAATTAACTTTACCTCCTTGCCTGTACAAACAGGAAGAAACACAGGAGGCCACTTTTCAGTGAATTCCTCAATGAAAGAGAATGGTCTGAGCTCAGATCATGGCTAGGTACTTTATCTCTGCTGATGCTAATAAATTGTGTTTAGTCAAAACTAGAGTCCCAAACCCAGTTAAAAAATTAATTTTGCAATGTCATGTTCTCTGAACTGATTTGAAAAGCATACTACTAACCACAGAACCCTACTCAAGAACTGCCATATTAGACATCAGATACTGGCTGAACTTCCACTTACTTGTCAAAGCAATAGTTTCAGATCAACAGAAATGCTTTCAACAGGTATTTTGCAGATTGCAAAGTAGAGGGATCTCCTTCAAAGATGGAATGCTTCCCCCTCCCACCCTCCATTTGTGGAGTATCTGACTACTATCAATTCAGTTCCTCCATCTCTTTACAGGGAAATTTCCTCCTTTGTTAGTAAGTCAAACAAGCCATTAGTAGGTCAGAAGGTGCCTGAATAGGAACTGCTCCTTGAGCTCTCCCCTGAGCAGCTTAATTCAACCCGATGCTCTTCCAATTGCAAAAAGCAGCAACTTTGAGTTACATTTACCAATTGGTTCCACGACAGGCGCTGGTGCAGGAGCTGACTTGTTCCAAGGACCAGATGATCTGTCTATGCCACCACCAGTCTCCTCCCAGTTGTCACCGGGTTCTTCTCTTTTTTCACTTTCATCATCTTCTTTTTCACTATAAAAGAGAAATGGTAAGTAGCATTTCACAAAGAGAAGTTTAAGACTTGCCAGAGATTACACAGTCGCCACAGGCAAGATTTCACAGCTACTGTAGTGAAGATACTAGATTTAACCAGACAACGTTAGTCCTGTAACCACTGTAATAGTACTTCTACCTGAACAACTTCTGCCACACTGCTACATAACTTGGCAACTGAGAAGAAAAAAGTTCTTAAACATTCTTATTACCCATACAAATATAATCTACAAACCAGTTCAGGTTTTTTTATAGCAGGCAATCAAAAAATACAGAGAGAAAAATATGCCATTTTTAAAATATAAATCCTATGCAAAAGCCTGACTATATTTTATTTAGACTATTTTATTTTGCATAGAAACAGTCAAAAACTCAAAATAATTTGCTAGACAAGGCTACTATAGTAAACTGTGTGGGTACATGTGTGGAGGGTGAGGCTGTTCAAAAACCCAAGACACTGATCTGGACGGCAGCAGCAATGTGTGAATACACAAGAAGTTTATAAGAGACCAATCCTACTAATCATGATCGGATAAGCTTTCTGTTATAGGTAATAATCAGAGAACAGTTAAAAGTAACTATAATTTCTGACAAATCTCCAGATATCTGTGTCTTATTTTCAGCAAAGAGATCTCCAGAGCTGGATAATTTACAACCTCCAGTGGGTTTTTCTTCCACTTACTTCTCCACTCTCCCCTTGAACCCACTCACTGAGTGGTTACAAAATCCTGTAGCAGAAACTGCCACATGCCTGAAAATCTGCCACAGCATCAAAAGCGTTCAGAATACCCGCCTTTGTCTGGAAAGCCAAAGTACTGGCTTTTCAATCAAACAGCACTAGCAGTCAGTGAAGCAGCAGCCCACTTTAGTTACTTGTCCATTCAGACATGTGATTATCAGCTGTGACACTTCAATGGTATGGAAAGCTTGTGGACCAAATACGTGCAAATGGCCTACTCGGACTAGTTAACAAAACAAGTAAAACAAAGAACATGCAGGACCCACTCAAACAGTGAAGAAAGCATCTATTGCACTGGTTACAGGTACGATGATGGCGTTATTCTGAACATCAATACCCGGACAAGAAGGATTATGTGACATTCTCAGTCTAAGACTAAGATCATAAAAATCCTTTTTCTGACCTAATTAAATGTTTTTCTTAACCTGGAAAGACTTAAGTAGACTTACTTTGGACCAGACTACAGGAACAATCTCATGAAAAAGCAAACACAGAATCTTGGACGAGACTCTCAAATGCCGTCTTGTGGGATCTTGTCATGGGATACTATTTTAACAGCTATATTTTTGTTTTTTTCAAATAAAAATGCAATGGTTCAGGAATTCACTCCCCAAACTGAGATGCTGAATAGATTGAGTCAGATACCCTTGCAGCAGTCAAATGATTCAGATTACAACGCTGCACACATCTCAGAGAAATTCCTACATTACTATCTTTATGGAGGAGAATGTTAAGCATTTGTAATAAAAGTTTGAGATCCAACCAAAACAGAGTATCAGAGATTTAGAAAATAAAGAGAACATCGTCAGAGAACAGTCAAAACAAAGTTACCCTACAGCAAACTTCTACACCAGCAGAAACACATCAAACCTCTGTCCATGGAGGCAGCTCTGAAGAAAAAAACCTATATTTTAGACATAGGTAATGATTATACCGAAAAGAAAAAAAGTAGTACCTTATTTGCATGGACTGAACTCTAAGACCACTATAATCAACTTCTTCCTTTTGCTCAAACTCTTTCCAATCATCCTCTTCCTGCAAGAAAAAAAAAAAAAAAAGAAGTTAGCACCTTCCTTACACTGAAAGCAGAAAAGAAGAATGTAACTAATACAAAGGAAACTCAGGGTGAAGGTGCAGTTTCATGGGAGACAGATCTGTGTGCATCACTGAGAACAAGGGAAAAGACTCCACTCCCTCCCCTGCTAACTCCCTATTTGTCATCTAGGATGCACTGGTGGGCTGACTTGAACTCACTACAACAGCTAGGAAATGGCCCAGCAAAAGAAAAGCATCACCTCAGTAAAAACCCAGTGGGAAGTCAAGGGATAATACAGAGTAGGAAACAGGACCGTGCAGTCAGGATCACAGAAATACAAGGGCAAGACTGCTCCCTGTTACTAACAGTAAGCTCTTATGACAGCTTGAATGCACATGAAGCTTTAGATTTACGTTTCCATCACCTATTTCATGAGCCAAACAGTAAAAAACATTTGGAATAGCTTATAGTGGATTTATGACAAAGACCAGCGTTGGTACATTTGACTTTTTCATATTTACAATCACATTTACAGCCTTTCTTGTTGTCTTTATTTTTTTTTTTTTTACAATAGTAAAAAGGTCAGGTTCAAAACCACAGCGATCTTAGTACACAAAAACAGCAGAATACTAGTCTCTGGAGAATGTCACTTTACGGTTTTAAACCAGGAGCTCGATTATGTGTTTTGGGAAAGAAGGACCCACCTAAGCACGGGCAATTTTGTCCTACTGGGTAATCAGCAGATTCTGGGGTTACTAAGGTAGGCCAGAAATGGACCAGAACAGAGCAGCAGTCTTCCTGTGTTCCTAGTCACAGCTTTACGACACACACAGCCTAATCAGTAGTTTACACAATTCCTACACTCTATCACTTTAAATACAAAGACCTTGTAAGCAAGGTTTGCAATGGCACAGTCTCCTTTCTGCTGAACAGCTGGGAACAAAGCTTCATGGGAGAGCCCCGTTCTAGGATCTTCTCCATTATCAACCTCTAGCAGGAAAACTTTGACCTGCTCCAAACTAACAGCAGAAGCAGAGAGTGACCTCATGCTATTACACCATCTGCTGAAGGCTGTCTTTCAGAACAGCGCGAGTCCACAGTTCTAAAATCTTTTACATTTCTTATATCCCCATCTCCATGGAAACATCACAGTTTCCAAAATAAAGATCATTAAACATGAAAGGTACGTTATTTCTAATCCAAGTGTAAGCCTCAGTCAAAGCCTGATATTATTTTTAAAACAAATGAGCAGAAGAGCAGCTGAAAGATTATTACCGCTGACCTTGGTCTAGTTAGAAAGCTACTGCAGGTGTCGAGCTCCCCAAGAGAAACAACATGAGGAATTAACTGAATATTTCTTAAAAATAATTGTAAAATACACAGCACAGCCAGCTGCAAGGCACTGACTCAACTAGGAGCTTAAACTTCTCTTGTGTTCTTACCGTTTCGCTGTAATACGGTATATTCAAAAAAAAAAAATATATACCGGC